AAACCCCCAAAGTTAATGCCCCCCCCCCCCCCGTTCAATCCCAGGAACGAAATGCTTCGTCCGATCCTGGAATAAATGTTGACACTTTGGTCCCTGGGGCCTGTCCCTGGACTCCTCTGTTATTTTGTATCATTAGCCTGTTCCAGATACCTCTTCGCATCCAAATTAAAAAGAAAAAGCGCTGTCTCTCAATACTTCAAACATCATAATGCCACAGCACGACAGCTCTGACGAAAACTTGCGTCCGACTTGACGTTCTCTCCATGCCACACAGAGCAACGTCAATCACCCGCTGCCATGTGAACGACATCACGTGCGCAATCACGCCCCACCTCATCGTCCATTGGCTTACCAGCTCCTGAGAGCTGGGCCAGGAACGTGCGACTCGCTGTGCCATCATATCGGGCTTCAGAGCGCAGAGCTCCTCCACGCCCAGTTCAATCTCGGAACAACCGCTCCTCCAACGCTCAACGCCCCATTTCCATCCCGTCCATCATGGAGTCTGAGCTCGCTCCCAAGTTCGCCCCCTTCATTGGGATGGTGAGTTTTCCATCCCGCCGCCGTTGAACCAGACATGCATCGCCCCGGTCACGAATTCGGATGCTAATGCGCCAATGTAGGCTGGCATCGCAGCCGCCATGGTCTTCGGATGTAAGACGGACGCTGAACCGAAACAACCTTCCGACCGTTATTTGAATTCTAACACGGGATGCATATAGCTATTGGCGCCGCGTACGGCACAGCAAAGTCTGGCATTGGCATTGCCGGTGTAGGAACATTTCGCCCCGATCTCATAATGAAGGTTCGTTTCCCCGCTGCCGAACTTATATCTCCTCCCCTCCCAAGAAACAATTGAAAAATATTAAATCACACTCTCTGACAGTGTCTGATCCCCGTCGTCATGTCCGGCATTATCGCCGTCTACTCGCTCGTCATATCGGTCCTTATCGCCCAGGACCTCGCGCCTCCGTCCGCAAACGAACAATACGCCCTGTTCTCGTACGTAAAACACCCCCCGGACGCTGACCAAGAGTTCGTCTCTAACATGTGGTTGTTAGGGGCTTTATGCATTTTGCTTGCGGTCTGGCGGTCGGCATGACCGGCCTGGCTGCGGGCTATTGTATCGGAATTGTGGGCGACAAAGGCGTCCGCGCCTACATGGAGCAGTCGAGAATCTTTGTCGGCATGGTTCTGATTCTGATTTTTGGAGAGGTCCTTGGTCTTTACGGGTGAGTGATTCGGTGGAGTGGATTATGTGTCCAAGTAGCGCAGCACCAACTGATGTTGCCACAGCCTCATTGTCGCCCTCTTGCTGAACTCACGAAGCAAGGGCTAATTGAATTGCTTTTTCCTTTACTTGGAGCTACAAGTCGAAACAAACCACGTCTTGTCTAGTGTATTGTACACACCAACTAAAGTTACCCGAAGTGAGCGAGAGCACGTTGAAGGACAGTGGGAGAAATGTCTTATTAGTTGCATGGGACATGGCGTTTATTGGAACGTGTACATTTATCATTGCAGGTAGATCAGACACACGCCAGCTGATTCAGTAGCGTCATGGCAAGTCTATGTCATTCTTGAGAACGACTTGGTTGACTGATTTGCGATTTATCACAGTATCATTTCCTAGAGATATGTGTTGGTACAGTCGTTCTTCTCACAGGTCACATGCTTTCGCAAACATTAGTCGTGTGGTTAGACAGCAGCGTAAGAGAAGTTGAATTCACTAATGCACAAATGCCAGTTACCCTCCGTCACATGTTCGTGTGAGTGAGGAACTTTTTGTCCTCGATGATGAATGCAGCCCAAGAAAAAAAGATGCGCGAAAAACTAAATCGTACCAATCTACAAAAAAAAAAGAAGAAGAAGAAACGCCGCCAGATGCATCATGGATTCGTGAAAAGAAGAGAAAAATATGCCAGGATAAAGGAGTGGAATATGCTCCAACCAGTGGAGTTTTGGAGGAGTGAACCACGAGAAAGCATCAAGCGTCGGTGCCAATATTTTTCATATTCTAAGTTGGCAGCAGCCGACCACCGATACGACGCAGCAGTCTTTTACGTTGGGTG